GGCAGCGGGGTGAGTGCGGGGCCTCTGGTCGCGGTCGGCCGGGAGGTGCTCCTCACGCCCGGGGTGAAGGGCCGTCTGTGAGGGCACCGGGTGGCCTGCCTGCTCTCGTGTGTGTGACCGTGGCCCCGGGTGTACAGGGGGTTTCGCCAGGGTCTGGATTGCCTCCTCCGGCTCCCCCGCGCTGTCTGGGCTTTGGTGGTGTGGTTGTTGGATTCCAGCCTGACACCCTCCTCTGTAATGTCTGTGGCTGTAGTCCAGGTGTGGGTAGGTGTGGGTTTAATACTTTCTCTGCTAACCTTTCTTGTCTTGAACATCACTACACGTGCTATGTGTAGGATTTGCTTTCTCTAAAGTGCATTACCACTGGTGTGCAATTGTGGCACGTGCTGTTAAAAAACTGTGAGTGTTAGAAAAGAGCTGGTTTATTCTGATTCTGGTGTGTAGCTTGGAAATTTTGGCAGTGGCAACTGATAAATGAGACTCGAGTAAACTTACTTGTTCATTAGAAAATAATAATATCACAGAGTCTGTTTTTGTGTGTTTAACTATAAAATCAATGAGTAACACTGCTGATTTGAGCTGATATTTGTCTTCCCCTCATAGTCCGTTAACACTATTACTGTTTTATTGTGTTGTTTTCAGTGGCTGGTCCTTGAATGTAAGTAATTATTTTACAGTACATATATTCTTTGACCAGTAGTGTTTCATATGTTATTTGTAACTAAGCACTTTTCTTTTGGTAGATTCATCCTTTGTTTATACCAAGGTTTGTAAGCAAATATTCTTAATAATAAACAGGTGTTGCCTACCCTATGATTTTGTTGGTAAATTTAATTTGTTATGCTACAAATTTGTGAAAATTTGGCTTATTTCTTATCTGTTCTTCTTCCTTCCTCTGATGTTCCTTTTAAGCCAGAAATTTTCCAGTAGTTAAGATACTGATGTCACATACAGCAGATGTTCTCAATTATTTCAGACTGAATCTTTGTGTGCTTCCTTATAGGAACTTTTGTTTTCTCTGAGCAGCAGTTAACAGTCTGTTTTCCTGAATCGATTGCTGTGTGTTTTATAACTAAACTATGTATATTCATTGCTCTTGTGACCTATTTGAAGTAGTTAAGTTATCAGGGTAAAGCTAGTTCAGGGTATATTGGTATGTCACTCCTGAATGTGACACAATGTGTGTTTATCTGACTGAGAACTACTGTTTTTTATGCAAGTAGTTAAAATTTTCCAGAAGTGACCAAACAGAATTTTATAGGTTTTTTTTTTTTCAGGTTATTTACTGTGAATGTAATTCCTAAACCTGTATGTATGAAACGTGTGGGACTTCTTGGTCTTTATTTAGGTGCCAGTAACATTTCTGTAGCACTTGGGAAGGGTTTGACAAGAGATTCTTGAACCCAACTAAGCCACCAAAATCTACCAAGTAATGCAGAAGAAATTAACAAGATTCATCAAGCCTCATGTGCCTAGGCAGAGGCAAATCATTACCTTTGGTTAGACAGATACCTTTTTCCAGTGAAAAGCCTTAGCAGATAATCTAATTGTGGCGTTTGACAGTTGTGTTAACAAAAGTTATTTTTACAGGTTGGGTTTTTTCTGTTTTTCTCTCCCATCTGAAAAAAAGAGGAAACGTGTAAGTGGGGACAGAATTTCATCATTAGATGTATAAAATAGCTGAGCATAGATGGTAGATGCCTGTGTGTGCTGTTACAAAATGGAAAGGACCTCTCTAAGGTGTTTTTGTTTAGCTGTGTTTTGTTTCCATATACAATTCTGTTTCACAATTCTGGGAATGTGCTTATGTTTAGGGAGTTTTTACGAAACTTGAAGAATCTTGAGGAGGTTTAGATTCAAGTAGGAAATGCTTAGATTTTATTCACTGGCTTCTTAAGAAAGTTTGAAGAGCTGAAAACAAAAGAACTTCCTTTTGTTGAGGCTGCTTATAGGATAATAGTATATTTTAATATTTCCTTCAAAACTCTTGGTTTGTTTGTTGGGAAAATCAAAACCAAAATTATATCAAAATTTTCAAATGCTTATTTATATTTATTTCAAGTTGGTAATATCATTCTTGATGGAGCCTATCTTCCTACTTCTGTTGTCTAAATTTATATGTAAGAATGTGTAGGATTATTATCAAAGTGGTACAGGTGTGTTATTGCACGCAAGTGTGTGTAATAAATAACATTTTACAGAAATGCTACTGAAACTGTCTAATGTGATCTAAAAGCCTCATGTCTCCTTTAAAAAGAGAGATAGAATGTGTTCTCTTTCTTTTCCAAGAATGCCTTATTTTCCAAGGCTTTTAAGATTATCTTGTTACCTGAACTACCTCTAGAATAGCAGTATTAGCAATTGAGCTTGTTAGGGAAAGAAATAGTTCTCAGAAATTGTGGTTGGAATTTTGATCCTTAAATAGCTCATTGATTAACTTTTTAATTCCTCTGATTATATTTAACTGAATGAAAAGAAATTTAGACCCTTAAATCATTCCTTGTTATCAAAGCAATTGTGGTTCACATTAAAACACCTAAAGGCTTAAGTGTGGAAAAGGTGGTTATTCTCTCTTTGATTTATTGCATTTCGTAGGTGTAGCTTTCACCAAATAAGCCCCTTTTTATAGGCAGCTTGTTAGGCCGAAAACATTGCACGCCGTTTGTTCTGCCTGACACCTGTGCAGGTGGGAGACATTGCTGCCCTTTGATATTACTACCACTCTTCTTTCTGTGAATGGAGTGGTTTGTGCCAGCTGTGTCAGAAATATCAGTTATGTTAGTGTAAAGGAATAATACAGTTTCAGATCACCTCATGCAAATCATGTAGGCTATAAAAAAAAAAAGTGCTTAAAGAAACAGTTGAGTTCTCAGACAGTAATCTTCAGCAGGGAAATGATGACTGGCCTATATCCATGATACTGCTATCTGATACAGTTGAAATCTAAGCGTAAGCTAAATTCCAGAAAATACCTTGTCTTAGCTGGTGGATTGAGGTATGGATTCTCTTTGTACCATGTTGCGGTAAAACTAGCAAATTTCTTTGAAACACGTTTAGCTTTTTTAGTTTGTCATCTTGCTCTTACACCTTTGCTTTTTCTATGCTTTTCTCTGCTTTTTAACTAGAGAGAGAGTACGTAATATTTTCATCAGATGGAAGTCCTCATATTCCATAAAGTTTACCCCTCATTTCTGTTTTTGAAAAAATGGACAAAGTGAGGTCTTAGCGGATGGCATTTTCTCAGCCTTTTCCTGTATCCTCTCCAGTTCCCAGTTTGGTTTCTCCTTTTTTCCCCCACAAAGTGTGGACACTAGAACTGGATGCAGTAGCCTAGTATCAGTTTCATCAGTAAAACATGCATACAAAAGTAGGTAAGCCTTTTTGTGCATTTCTTCAGCATTGCATTAGGATTTTACATGATGATCTAGGCTATGATGCCTAGATAATTTTTTTAACTATTATTCAGCAACTGCTGAATGTAGTTGATGGTCCTGGTTTCTGGACAGAAGACTGCATTTGGTTATATTAAAATGAAATTGAAGTGAAATTTGTGAAGAATGGGGAAGTTGTATCTGTGGTCATCTTGTAGGGTTGAGGTGTTTTTTTCTTTTCCTGCCTGTTTTTGATGATAATAAAGGTAAGTGGACCTTGCATATTTACTGGCCTACCATTTTTCATAAGCCAAAATTTAGAAGCTAAATTTTTAGGGCTTTTTTCACCTATTTTCCAGTACAAAGCTGTGAAGGTACCATTTTAAGAAACTAATTTATGTGAATTACCTTCGCAGGAGTCGTGCACATTTGACTAAATAAAAATTATTTTCTGAAACCAGCATTGTGGATGTTAATTCTCAATGTAATATTAATTCTGTTAATGCCTTTTATATACTCAGTACCTTTTACCCTCTTTCGTATGGAAAAGGTACTTGAAGTTTAACTCTTTTGGGAGCTTTATCACTGAGGAAAAACCTTTCTTTCAAACCATCCTGCCCTCATGCAGGGATGCATGTATGTATTGTTTAGAACTGCATGAAAAGAATTTGATAGTCTTTATTCTGCATCAGTAAGGCAGAGTAAGTTGAGATCAACTGTTCCACTATTTATCCACAAACCCAATAGCTGCACGAAAGGAGGGCAAAGAGTTTCTATCAGCTGAGTGCAGATATAATGAGTTTGCACATGCTTGTAACGTTTTGTGTATTTAGTTTATGGAAAGTGGAGGGACTGGTTACTTTTGGTATTGAGCTGCAATTTTTTATTATTCTAAATGTATAGGAACTGATTTACTCTAGTCTTCTAGGGCTTTGTCAGTTAGGTGTATGCAAGAGTTCTGGCTGTTGCACCTTCTGTGTATATTATGTTCCACTCTTCTGCATGAAATGTTCTTCAGATTTTAAGCTTTCCAAAGGTTTTTTAAAATAGTATTTTTGTGTTTTATGAAAACGTACCATTTGTTTCACACAATTTATGTTGCACTATTAGCAAATTCTTTCTTGGGTGTGGGATAAAACTGTAAAGCATAAGGAAATACCTTTCAGTTGTATGTTACAAACTTGAGGAAATCTGAATGTCTTCTTCAGTATGTTTGAAGAAAATACCAGAGGAAGCAGTTTTCCTCTGTGTTTGCAAAATAGTGTACGTTGTGAATTGGGCCATGTGAGTCTTGCCCGGTTTTTTTATGCTGTGGCAGACAGATTAAAAGGAAATCTGGAGATGAAGAGGTTACATAAAAGATGTAGAAATCTGTTACATGCAGTGATGGGAGCCCAATTGGAAATGCAGCAAACTGAGTTCTGGCATACGTTTTCATTGATTTTCTGCTCTAATTGTCTGCTGCAACCGTAACTGCTACGTATCCAATCAGTCTTGTAAAACTTCATCTATCGCTGTGAGTTCATAATAATGGCAACTGAAAAACATGAAATTTTGTTTTACTTAAATTTAAAAAGGTCACTTCTTGCTTTGGAAATGATACGTTGACTCTTTCGCTATTCTAGAAAAGTACTCTCTGATTTGATCAAAATGTATAGGTTTAATGCAGAATCTGGATTTCAGGATAACTTCCAATAAACCAAATGAAGAAGTACAATTATTTGAAATGAAATAATTCATTAAATTCGTAAATAATAGAGAGCTAGTTGTTAAATGCCGTTAAATATTCAGTGTTTTCATTTAGTTGTCTATCTTCACAGTATTTCAGCACATTTTGGAGTACAGTTTGGAAAAAATATAGAAGCAGTACATGCAGCGTGTTATGCCTTCTGACATTGTTTTCATTCTAGAACTTGTTCTCGGAGTTAAGAAATAACTGTTCAGGTCCAAAAAGTATTTATCAGTTTATTTGGTATAACTGATACTATATTAAACCATTTATCTTACACAGTATAAAGTTCCCATAGAGCCTAAAAGCTATGTGACAAACACAGAAGTTTTACCTAACACTTTGTGGACTGATGCTATTTCAAAATATGGAAAGCGGTCTTTTCTTGTTTACATCTAATTGTATATGGCTAAAAAATAAAATGCTTCACAGTTTTTTTTCAGAAACATCTACATTTTTGGTTAAAAGGTGCCTTCAAACACAACACCTTTAAAGTACTATAAAGATAAAAGGAGAGTTCATACTTAAAGTTTTTATACTGCATACTAGCTATAATCAGACATTTTAATTTCTGAATCTGGAAAAAAGGGGAGCATGTCACATTTCTTATTCCTGTGATTGTGGGTGGCAATCACAAGAAAGGAATGCAAATGGCTACATAGCTTTTTGAAAGAAACACAAACCAAGTTAACTTGATGGATAGTAATAGGGTAGATTCCAGATTCTATGAGAGAAGGTGGGAAACATGCTTTGTGTGTTTTTGTCGACATAACTTGAAACCGTGGGGATTTCATCTTTGTCCGATTTGTTAGAACTGTCTCCATGCAGGCTGAAATGTTCAGAGCAATTTGTATTCCATGCATCTACCAGTTGGTCTTGTTGGTTTTCTCTCTCGATGGTGGTAAGGAAATCTTTTAAAACTTGCTTGAATATGTAGACTATTTGCCAAGGTAAAACATCATTTTCTGCCAAAACTTCACGAAATCTAGAAACAAACAAAAACTGAAATCTAGTAATCAGCGTTGAAAACTCTTCTGTTTCCTCTCCGGTGTTTTGAGGGGAGGGGAAGGAGGAGGAAATGACTGCATTCTGGTGTCATTTATTCCTTGCTGCCACATTTCCCCACACCTCCTCTAAAAGATTGTAAGAGGAAAAGAGCTCTAACAATGCACTGGATGTTGTCCAGCTATTATGAGGATTGAAAGCTATTGTTACTGGGTATGCCTTTTTTTTCTGTGGTGGTTTTTTTTTGGTGGTGGTTTTTTTTTTTTTTTTGGCCCATCTGGGTAACTTGATTTAAACTGACTTTGCCCTTAGGTATATTCTGGGCTTTAAAAGGCACATAGGTTTGTTCTGACATTTCTACGTGTCTCTAGAAAATGAATTTAAAATACAGGCATAGAAGAATTTTTCTTTTTAAAGTGTGGGGGGTTTTGTTTGATTGGTTATTAAAAAATCAAAATTTTTTTTTTTTACACCGATTTGCTAGTTTTAGAAGCTTTCAGGTATTTTGGACAGTGACGCTGGGTTTCTTTGTAACAGTGCATTGCATTAGTGCTTTGATTTTTGGTTATTGGGGTACTATTTAATAAATATTGGGGATAAATAACAGAGAAAAAACTGAAAGTATTGAGAGGTCATGTGTTTATGCATGTGAGACTTCCCTTGTTCTGGATTAGACCTGGAAAATCCTGATTAAAAGCTTCCTTCAAATACAACATATTAAAGATGTAATATTTAAAATACCTGTAAAAATGCGGTCCAATTGCTGGTCATTGTTACTTGGGCAGAAAGATCAGAGCCAAATATAAACTTGGATCAGGTAGAAGAAACATCTTACTTATGACAGAGTACTCAAAGTTAGAGAAACATGAAACAATTACCTGCTGAGAACAGTTCCCGTTTGGCAAGGCTGGATTTGTGAACACAGAACTTCCAGTTGCCGTTGCTCAGTAGCTGGAATTGTTGCTTCAGGGTTTCGGTAGTTCTTCAGCCAGTTGTAATCCATGCCAGTCTTTTGAACTTTTTGTTCATTTTCAATCTCTTGTACTAATCTTTCACGCTCTTTCAGGTGCCATTTCAATTCCCTCAGAAGGGTTTTTGTAACTACTTCCGATCCAGGATATCTTGTGGGTTTGTAGGAGTCATTTTTTGACCATTTCATCCAGCCAAAAAGTGGCATTTTGAAGCTGTGAGAGGAGAGGAAAAAAAAAAAATTTGCTTATTTTTGTCTGCTTATTTCCTCAAACCTGGACATTGTTTGACTGATAGTATTTATACCTGTAGACTTCCTTTTTAGCAGCTGAATGTTTACAGGAAACTTTCTTAATGATTCTAAAATATTTTGCAGTGCAAGTAGTGATAACAATAATTGCCAAGCCATAGTTAAATCTGACAAGCCTTACATTTGTAAAGTTTTTCCATCTTTTTTCTGAGTTAACATAAATATGTGAAGTTTACAACATTTAAAAGTGCACATATATCATATTGGAAGTATTTCAATTTTTTATCCTGGTTTAAAAAAAAAAAGCCAAAAACATCCCCAAACCAAACAACCCCGCAAAAAACCCCAAACCAAACAAACACCCCTCCAAAAAACCCCAA